CTAAGCCAAAAACCCTAACCCCTAAACCCTAAAGCCTAACCCCTAACCCCTAAACCCCTAAACAACCCTAAAATGAATCCCATGAGCCTGCAACCGGAAACCTGAAACGCAGAGGCAAAATGGTGAGCTGGTGCCTGGCGTGACGGCCCAGGCGGGGCATGAGCAAGATCCGGCAACAAAAGAGCCTAAACCCTAAACCCTAAACCCTGAACCCGAAACCCTAAGCCCGAAACCCTAAGCCCTAGACCCTGCAAACCCGAATCCTGAATCCCGAAAGCCCCGAACGCCTGAAGCCCTCAAGGCCGAATCCCCAAGCCCCCTGCAATCCTCATATAGCCCGTGCATCCATCTTCTACCCCAAGCCCTAAGCTCTACCCTGTCAGAGTACACAGTGCGCGAAGCCCTAAGTTGGGGTTTTCGGGTTTAGGGTTTAGGGGTTTAGGGTTTAGGGTTTAGGGGTTTAGGGGTTTAGGGGTTTAGGGTTTACGGTTTAGGGTTTAGGGGTTTAGGGGTTTGAGGTTTAGGGGTTTAGGGTTCAGGGTTGGAAAGTAGGCGCTCCGCTGGACTGGGGGCGCAGCCCCTGGCTTTGCTCAGGGTTCTTAGGGTTTAGGGTCGTGTGTTTGGGGTTTGAAATTTCATGAGCCCTGGCAGGACATGGGCGACAAGACAATCGGGAACGACCTCGACAATGCGCAGATCGGTTTCAGCAAGGTGCGAGGGTGCTGTGGACTCTTTGGTCGGGCCCTATAAGCCTAAGCCCTAAGCCCTAAGCCCTAAACCCTAAACCCTAAACCCTAAACCTTAAACCCTAAGCCCTAAGCCCTAACCCCCTAAACCCTAACGGTAGACCCTGAAGCCGTAAACCCTAGCCCTGGACCCCGCGCCTCAACCCTAACTGTCCTCATTGTCCCCTGACCATGATTTGGTTTAGGGAGTACCCCCGTAGACCTTCAGCCCTCAAGACCAGGAAAAATAGACGTTTGTATGTGAAATCATTCAGCATGTACAAAGTTGCTTGTCCAAACAAGCGGCCACCACACAAAGTCCCGTGTCATTCGGATTTTGTTGTTTGTCCCAAGCAAGCTGGTGCCACGCAAAACAAACGCACCTGGAAGCCAAATATTCAATTGTCTGAAAACCTCTGGTGGACTTGACAACACACAAAGTCCCGTATCATTCTGAACGAGCAAAGATATTTGTCTCAAAAAGTCGGCACGAAAAGGCCTTTGGCTTGCGAGGCCCCCTGAAGCCCCAAAAGGCTCGAACCCCGGACACTAAAGACACAACAAGGCCCCAGAGTTCCGCCCCAAAATCCCAGAATTTGGGACCTGAACCCTACTATACAGTTTCTACAGAAAGCTCTATGCCCCCTAAACCCCGACTTGACTCTCAACAACGCTAAACCCTTAAACCCTTAAACCCTTAAACCCTTAAACCCTTAAACCCTTAAACCCTTAAACCCTTAAACCCTTAAACCCTTAAACCCTTAAACCCTAAACCCTCAAGCCCCCTGTAACTTGAGATTATTAAGACGAATTAAACGACAAAACTCCTCGAAACTCCTCGAAACTTTCCTCGAAACTTCCCCGGACCTGAACCCTTAATAATTTCAATAAACCCTAACCCTAAACCCTAAACCCTAAACCCTAAACCCTAAACCCTAAACCCGCGGAGGTCTGGCTCCCCAAGGATGCGCTGCTGGACAAGTATGCGGGCCTGGAGGGCGGCAGCTACGCTGGGACCCCCGGTGGTGCGTAGCCATAGACCCCAAAGCTCAAACCCATGAACTCGAACCCACCTAAACCCAGGAGGGTTTAGGGTTTAGGGTTTAGGTTTTAGGGTTTAGGGTTTAGGGTTTAGTGCTGGGTTTATAAGGGTTCTGGTCCGGGAGTTTTGATTTGTCGGGACAGGCTTCGGGGTTTTAAGGCATCTGGTCTCTAGGTTTTCAGTGCTTGGGGCAGGTTGAATTGCGATTTGGGGCTGGAGGTGTTTGGGGCTTGGGGTTGAGGGGTTTGATGGGATTGAAAGGGAACCGGCGGCCACGTGCAGCTCGGGAAACCACTGAACGTTGAGAGACTTTTATTTTCTTGTATGGGGTTATTTCCCACGCCCCTGGGAGGATCCAAAAACAAGAGCCCTCAACTACGTACCCTCTACTACTATTGGGTCTTTCTTGGGAACCCTTAGGGGGATCTCCTTCCTGAATCCTCCCTGGGGTCTCGGTTCGGAACATAACCCTAAACCCTAAACCCTAAACCCTAAACCCTAAACCCTAAACCCTAAACCGTAAACCCTAAACCCTAAACCCGTTTGCCGGACCAACCTAGAAAACAGTTTTCGCTGAATTGTTGGGTACCGGGGCCCTCTGTCGGAGCTGTTTCGCATCAGCCCCAGGGTGTTTGGGGTATCGGAAACCCCTGAAAACCTAAACCCTAAACCCTAAACCCTGAACCCTAAACCCTAAACCCTAAACCCTAAACCCTCAACGCGTTGGGAAGTTTCATCGCCGCCATCTGAAGTGGGGGGGCGGCCAAACCCCTTCCCCAAACCCCCTGAACCCGAATGCCGAAACCCCCAAGCGCCCCTTAAAGCTGAGCCCTAAACCCTAAACCCTAAACCCTAAACCCTAAACCCTAAACCCTAAACCCTAAACCCTAAACCCTAAACCCTAAACCCTAAACCCTAAACCCTAAACCCTAAACCCTAAACCCTAAACCCTAAACCCTAAACCGCACCCCACAGCTCAGGTGCAGAAGCAGTTGGGGACCCGGCTTGGTGTTTAGGGGACTTGGGGTTCAGGGTTTTTTGGGGTCTGCAGTGTTGGGGTTTGAGGATTTTTTTTTGTGGGTTGCAGGGCGTTTGGGTTTGGGGGGTTTGGGGGTTTAGGTTTTCCAGGAGTTCCGACTTCAAGGATCGAGGGTTCTAGGGCTGAGGGTTTTCTAGGTTTTTGGGGACCTAGGGCCTTATAGTTATAGGGGGCGGAAGATGTAGTTTCAGGGTCGCAGGTCGGAGGGCTTTGTTTCATCCGGGGACTGGCTTCACGCCCCGGCCCGGCCTTCTTAACTTTGTGGTGCTTTACTGTAGCTTTAGATCTTTAGCCTTTTTGGGTCTATTGGGCTTCCTAGTAAGGCAGATAAAAATTTCGTTCATAGCTACCTTCCGAAGTGCAGCCAAGTTAACACGCGACTCCAAGAAGGGCTTATTTCAGGGTTCCCTCTTAATTCAGGATGCTGCCGGCCGATTCTTCTGGGTAGTGCATCTGGGGTTTTAGGGGGTCTGCAGGAAAGCTTCTTCGGACGCGTCCTCGCAAAATCTCGCAAACCCATAGTGACGTACGTCCTACGTAACACCCCCCCCCCCCTCCCCCTCACCCTCAAAACTCTAAACCCTAAACCCTAAACCCTAAACCCTAGACCCTAGACCCTAAACCCTAAACCCTAAGCTCCAAACGCTGCCCCATGACAGGTCAGCTTTGGGGCCGAAACCCGGTGCCCCAAATGTTTGGGTTTAGCGTTTAGGGTCAGCTCCATTCCTGTTCTGTTCTTGGGATGTTGATCTCCGACACTTTTCAACACCTAAACCCTCAAAAACCCCAAAACAAGGCCGGGGATTTAGGGTTTAGGATTTGGGGTTTTAAACGGATTTAGGGTTTAGGATTTAGGATTTAGGGATTAGGGTTTAGGATTTAGGGTTTAGGGTGTAGGGTTTAGGGTTTAGGACTAGGGTTTAGGGTCCCACTCCATAAGCCAGGCAGGGGATCACCAACATGGACATGATCGGCCAGCGGCTGTACACCGGCAGGCCTAGTCTGGGAGTGGACCCGAGGGTTCCTACAAACTTAGGGTTTAGGGTTTAGGGTTTAGGGTTTAGGGTTTAGGGTTTAGGGTTTAGGGTTTAGGGTTCAGGATTTCGGGTTTAGGGCCCAATCCCTCGGGACTTGTAGGGACTTAGGGACTTAGGCTTTAGGATTGATAGGGTTTCGGGTTTCGGGTTTAGGGTTGATAGGGTTTAGGGTTTAGCGTGTTAGGGAGTCACGGGCTTTTGGGCGTGCACTCGATAGAGCCCCCCCCCTTTCCCCTTTCTGGCAGGTGGCAGGGTTTCTTTTTAGGGTTTCTGGGGTCTACTTGGAGGTGCATGGTACTTAGTATCCCAATTAATTATAACTGCACTTCTATCCCAGTTGTAACCGTATTGGGGTACTTAAGGGGCTTATATGTGGGTCATGACCCTAATCCCCAACCCTAAACCCTAAACCCTAAACCCTAAACCCTAAACCCTAAACCCTATAACTACACTTACAATGGGTTACAAAGTACCCTGAACCTCCCAGTCGGGCCCCGGACCCCGAGCTCTTTCACAAAGCTTAGAGAGAATGGAGGCCCGGGAGTTCAGTTCTTTGGTTGGGTTTCTGGGTTTTTGGGTTTAAGGTTTAGGGTTTAGGGCTTAGAGTTTAGGGTTCAGGGGACCGGGGGGGGAGGTTCGTGGGGGAAGCTGGCCTCCAGAGCATGGCCCCTGATGTCTGGGTCCTCCTCCTGCGGGGGCGAGGCACGTGATCGCCTGCTCCACCCTGGTCTTCGCCCGCACGCTCTACAAGTCGGCCAGGGAGTACGCAGACAACAAGATGCCGGAAGCCCAGTTTTTTTTTTTTTTTTTTGTGGGTTTTGGGGTTTCAGGAATGTAGGGCTGCAGGGTCTAGGGTTTAGGGTTTAGGGTTTAAGGCTATGTTTTCAGGGGTTTGCCCAGGATTTGTTATGGTTTCAGGGGTTAGGAGTGTACGGGTTGAGGAGTTTAGGGCTTAGGGTTAAAACTTCCTCAATCTCAACCCCTGAAACCCAGGGTTTAGGGTTTAGGGGTTTGGGGTTTCGGGTTTAGGGTTTAGCTGAAGTCCAAAACCCTAAATCCTAATCCCTAAACCCTAAAACCTAATCCCTAAACCCTAAACCCTACACCCTACACCCTACGCCCCCCAGCTCCGAAGGTGTTGGTCACCACAGGGCGGCATGCCTTTGAGCTCCGTACCGCAGCTGGCGGCCCTGTATGTGGAGACTGACAAGGAATCGGTTTGGGGTTTTAGGGTTCAGGGGTGGAAAAAAGGGTTTAGGGCTAAGGGTTTAGGGTTTGGGGTTTGGGGGCTTCAGGGCTTCAGGGTGTCAGGGACATAAGACTCGTAGCCCCAAACCCCAAAACCCCAAACCCTAAACCTCAAACCCCCAAAAAAACCCAAACCCTACACCTGAAACCCCTAATCCCTAAACTGCCCCAAACCCTAAACCCCAAACCCACCCTAAACCCTAAACCCCAAAACCCCAAACCCTAAGCCCCAAAGCCTTACATAGGCCCCCCAAAACCCCAAACCCTAAGCCCCAAAGCCTTACATAGGCCCCTAAACCTTAAACCTCAAGGGATCAACCCTCAGCCCTCAACCCTCAACCCTAAACCCTCAACCCTCAACCCTCAACCCTAAACGGCCCTAAACCCTAAACCCTTAACCCCTAGGCCCTTAGGCCAAAAGGCGCACGCCCCCCCACGACTCAGGAGCTCGGGAGGATCGAGGCCTTAGGGTTTAGGGCTAGGGTTTAGGGTTTTAGGGTTTTAGGGTTTAAGGGTTTTGGGGTTTCGGGTTCGGGGTTAAAGGGTTTAGGGGTTTCGGGTTTAGGGTTTCCCAAGCGTTGCGGTTTAGGGTCAGTCTAGGAATGTTCTCGCAATCATAACGGGATCCTGAGTTTCATCTAAGTAATAGTCTTGGAGGTTCTGGGCTTGGGGTTTAGGAGTTTAGAGACTTGGCAGTTCCATAAACCGCCTAAACCCTAAACCCTAAACCCGAAACCCTAAACCCTGAACCCTGAACCCTAAACCCTAAACCCTAAACCCTAAACCCTAAACCCTAAACCCTGAACCCTGAACCCTGAACCCTAAACCCTAAACCCTGAACCCTAAACCCTAACCCCCTAACTGCTTGTTTTGGAGCGACCAGATTCCCGAGAACCTCCGTATTGGAAGCGGAACCCCGAAAGGGACCACAAACCAGCAAACTGGTCATATCGCTCACAGCTCAGACCTTAGCGTTTAGGGTTTGGGGTTTAGGGTGTGGGGTTTAGGGCTTAGGGTGTAGGGCTTTTCGAGTCCTTCAAGGACTTCGGGGGTCAGGGTTTCGTGCTGAGGGACCTTTTTAAGGGCTTTGGGCGTTCGGTTCTAGAGAGGCCCTGGGCAGTTTGGCAGGGGTTCGGGTACCCTAGGCCTTACACCCTAAACGTTCAGTTAGGGTTCAGGGGTTTAGGGTTTAGGGATTTAGGGTTTAGGGTTTGGGGTGTGGGGTTTAGGGTTTAGGGTTTAGGGCTTGGGTTTGGGGTCTTTGACCCTGAGCTGAAAGGCCCGAAAGCCCAGTAACCGAGCCCCACCTTCGCAGGGGTGTGGGCTTTCAGGGCCCAAGGCGTCCGCAGCCGCACCGGCTGCAGTGTTCCTCGAAACCCACGTTTAGGGTTTAGGGCTTAGGGTTTAGGGTTTGGGGTTTAGGGTTTAGGTCTTAGGTTGAAGCCCTAGACCTCCCAAAGCCCTCGACCGTAGACCTTAAGCTCCCAAAGCCCCAAATCCCAACATCCTGGAGCATAGAGTCCGTCCTCATTAATAAAGGTATTTCCCAATGTAGGGGTACCATTCATACACCTGTCTAGAAGGACCCCTTATAACACTTAGAAATCCCAAACCCTATGTACCCTATAAACCCCATAACTCTTATACACCAAATAAAAACCCTAAAAACCCTATAAACCCTTAAGCCTCTAACCCTACAAACCCTAAAAACCCTACAATCCCTATAACCCTAAACCCTAAACCCTAAACCCTAAACCCTAAACCCTAAACCCTAAACCCTAAACCCTAAACCCTAAACCCTAAACCCTAAACCCTAAACCCTAAACCCTAACTCGCCTCTTCGGAAGCTCCCATATGCCTTTGGCTGCCGCGCCCCGGGCCCATGCCGCAGCCCTGCGTCTCGGCACAGTGTGGGCAGCCTGGCGCTCAGCGGCCCTCACAGAGTTCCTTGTTGGGGGGGGTTTTGGGGTTTGGGGGTTTGTGGTTTGGGGTTTGGGGGTTTGGGGTTTGGGTTTTTTGGGTTTTTGGGGTTTAGGGGTTTAGGGTTTGGGTTTTTTTTTTTTTTTTTTCGGGTTTAGGGGTTTGGGGTTTGGGTTTTTGGGGTTTGGGTTCTTGGGGTTTAGAGTTTGGGGTTTATAGGGTGTAGGGCCACCCTACACCGGAAGCCAAACCCCAAAGCCAAACTTCCCAGAATTTCTAGGCCCTTCCCGCGGGAGAACTGAGCAGGTAGGCCATTGTTAAAAGAACCCCTAAACTCCAAACCCTAAACCCGAAGCCCGAAACCCTAAACCCTAAACCCTAAGCCCTAAACCCTAAACCCTAAACCCTAAACCCTAAACCCCAGAAGTTTCGGTTTCCAGCTGAGCGTCTTTAGGAGCGATGGCTCACTGGGGGGGGTTCGGGGACTTGGAGGTTCCGGGCATGGGGCATCAATACATCGGGGTTGAGGATTTAGGGTTTAGGGGGTTTAGGGTTTAGGGTTTAGGGTTTAGGGTTTAGGGCTTCGGGTTCAGGGTTTCGGGTTTAGGGTTTGGGGGGTTTCGGACAGTCTACACTCTTATCCGCAGACACCCCTGAACCCCAAGTCCGAATCCCAAGCCTGAACCCAAAACCCAAAACCCAAAACCCTAAACCCTAAACCCCAAACCCTAAACCCTAAACCCTAATCCGCAAAGGAGTCTACAGGGGGGGGGGAACAAATCGAGCCGAGTTCCTCAGCTCCTGACCAAGAGACAGTACGACCCAAGATGCCGCCAGGTACAGCTGCGTATGCGTCCTGGACCCCCAGGCCTCGCACCCTAAACCCTAAACCCTAAACCCTAAACCCCAAACCCTAAACCCTAAACTCTACACCCTAAACTCCACAAACCCAGAACCCGAAGACTTGGGTGAGGCTCTAGAGTTCAGGGTTCAGGATTCAGACGGGTTTTTGAGGATGAGCTGGTGTGTAGGGTTTAGGGTTCAGGGTTTGAGGGTGTAGGTGCCGGGGGTTAATGGCCCCCCCCCCCACCCCAACAAGCACTGCCCTGCTTGAACCCTCAACCCCCGGGCCCCCTCACCGGTGGGGGAAATTAAGGGTTATGGTTGAGGGTTTCGGTCGGGTGTAGGGTTGAGGGTTTAGGGTGGATGCAAAATCTGGGGAGCCTTCCAACAACACCTGCGCGACAAGGATGGATTTGGATTACCTGAGGTACAGTCTAATAGGTAAGGTTTTCAACCCGAAGCGCAGAACCCTGAACCCTAGACCCAGACCTGAGTTGCAGGGTTGAGGGTTTGCTGACATGCTCGTTTGCAGCCCGTCAGCGCACGCGGTCGAGGCTTCGATCGAACGTGATAGCCTTTTCCCCCGTGTCATGGCCATGTCGGTTGATGTGCACCTGCTCAGCGGCAAGAGGGTTTCTCTTGAGATTGAGGAGGATGCATCTGTGGAAGAATTGAACCAAAGGGCCCAGACAGCTCTGGCTGTTGGCAAAGGGCGGCTGTTGAGTGCTGAAGGCCACGTCCTGGATACAGCACTGACGGTTAAGCGAGCAAGGATACAGAGCGGGGATGGGCTGTGCCTGCAAATACGGCTGCCGAAAGTCACAGCTCCGAAATGGACAGGGTTATATGAGCTGGGTCGTGCTTTTGCCACGATCCTCGGTGACGGATCTGTCATGACCTGGGGCGATGCACATTCTGGTGTGGACAGCAGTTCAGTGAAAGCTCAGCTGAAGGGCGTGGTTGACATTCAAGCTTCTGCCGGTGCTTTTGCCGCAATCTTGACTGATGGGTCTGTTGTGACGTGGGGCCGGCCTGATATGGGTGGTGACAGCAGTTCCGTGCAAGCCGAGCTCAAGGGCGTGCAGTGCATCCAATCTTCTCGACATGCCTTTGCCGCGATCCTCGCAGATGGATCGGTCGTGACCTGGGGCCGTGCTGATCTTGGCGGCGACAGCAGTTCCGTTCAAGCTCGGCTGAAGGGCGTGCGCCACATTCAAGTGTCTGCAGCTGCTTTTGCTGCAATCCTTGGTGATAGAACCGTCGTCTCCTGGGGCCATGTGTTTGCTGGTGGCAGAAGCAGTTCCGTACAAGCTCAGCTGAAGGGCGTTGAGTACATCCAAGCTTCTGAAGCTGCTTTTGCAGCAATCCTTGCTGACGGGTCTGTCGTTACCTGGGGCGTTGATGATTCTGGTGGCGACAGCAGTTCCGTTCAGGCCCGGCTGAAGGGCGTGCAGCGTATCCAAGCTTCGGATGCTGCGTTTGCCGCAGTCCTCGGTGACGGATCTGTCGTGACCTGGGGCAATGCTGAATTTGGTGGCGACAGCAACTCAGTGAAAGCTCAGCTGAAGGGCGTGCGGGACATTCAAGCTTCTGCCGGTGCCTTTGCCGCCATCCTGAGTGATGGGTCTGTGGTGACCTGGGGCCGTCCTGATATGGGTGGGAACAGCAGTTCCGTTCAAGCCGAGCTGAAGGGTGTGCAGCGCATCCAAGCTTCCAAAGCAGCTTTTGCCGCAGTGCTTGGCGATGGTTCGGTCGTGACCTGGGGCCATGCTAAATCTGGCGGCGACAGCAGTTCAGTGCAAGCTCAGTTGAAGCAGGTGCAGCACATCCAAGCTTCTCAGCATGCTTTTGCCGCGATCCTGCGTGACGGATCTGTGGTGACCTGGGGCCGCGCTGATTTTGCCGGCGACAGCAGTTCCGTGCAGGCCCGGCTGAAGGAGGTGCAGCACATCCAAGCTTCTCAACATTATTTTGCAGCAGTCCTCAACGACGGATCTGTCATTCAGTGGGGGCCTGGGTAAATCCCAAAATGGAGGATAGGTGAATATTGAATACATATTTGCTTGTATGTACAATGTACACATGCATATTCATACAGCAGGATTACTATTTGCATTTTTTGCATTATTTTTTGTGAGTGTGCGTATGTATACATTTATACACGCGTATGCGTGTATGTATGTATGTATGTATGTATGTATGTATGTATGTATGTAGGTAGGTAGGTAGGTATGTATGTATGTCTGTATGTATGTATGTGTGTGTGTATGTATGTATGTATGTACGTAGGTACGTACGTACGTACATATGTATGTGTGTGCATGTATGTATGTATGTATGTACGTAAGTATGTAAGTATGTAAGTATGTAAGTATGTAAGTATGTAAGTATGTAAGTATGTATGTAATTATGTATGTATGTATGTATGTATGTATGTATGTATGTATGTATGTATGTATGTATGTATGTATGTATGTATGTATGTATGTATGTACACATGTTAGTTCTACTTCTGTTTATATGTTTGAATATATACACAAATATGTATACGTAGTGCATATATATATATATATACATATATGTATATATGTGTGTGTATTTGGTGTTTTTAGTTCACTTGTGTTTATTCTGATATAATAGATCTTATGGGTATATGCAGATGTAGATGTATAAGTACATGTTTACGTATACTATAGACA